GAGAGAGAGAGAGAGAGAGAGAGAGAGAGAGAGAGAGAGGGAGAGAGAGAGAGAGAGACACACACACACACAGAGAGAGACCACACCTTTCCCATGGTCTGCCCTCAGGCCGTGGCTTCCGCGTCGTGGTTCCTCGTGGAACCGTGGTCGTGCTGCCCGGTCTCCTGTTGCTTGCTTCGTTTACTTGCTTCACCGGGTCTAATGCGATCGGACTCCAGGCATTAGGCCGTCAGCAAATACGGTTAGATGTTGTTCCGTCGTTGATTCGAGATGCCTAGAGCTGTAATTGCGATGTAACGGCAGGCGAACGTACCAGTTGGAAGCAGGCAGGTTGGTGGGCGGCGGGCTAGGATAGGACTCGGTTCCGTGGCATTTAGGTAGGGGTGGGTGCACGATTTCATGATATTTAGGTAGGGGTCGATTTCATGATAGTTAGGTAGGGGTGAGGGACGATTTAATGATACTTAGGTAAGGTTGGGGGACGATTTAATGATATTTAGGTCTAGTGCTACTGCTGTTGCTACTGCTACTGCTGCTACTGCTACTGCTACTATTGCTACTGCTGTTGCTACTACTACGATTGAATGATATTTAGGTAGGGCGGGGGCACGGTTTAATGATATTTAGGTAGGGTGGGGCACGATTTAATGATATTTAGGTAGGGGTGGGAGACGATTTAATGATATTTAGGTAGGGCAAGAGGCAACACCCCTACCTGAATATCATCAAGAGTACATAATAGGAGATTCTCTTCTAATAGATAATCTCCTATTATGTACTCTTGATATCATTTTAAAAATCGTGCCTGACCCCATACCTAAATATCATTGAATCGTCCCTTATCCCTACCTAAATATCATTAGATCGTCCCCCACTCCTACCTAAATATCATTAAATCGTGCCGCCACTCCTACCTAAATATCATTGAATCGTCCCTTACCCCTACCTAAATATCATTAAATCGTGCCCCACCGTACCTAAATATCATGAAGTCGACTCGTACGTGCGTACATACGCATACACCTCGCACAGACTAGATAGCATGCGCACTAATAACTACGTCATGTCTATCATGCGGAGTAGCAGAAACCGCAGCGAAGAATGGAATTGCCCTCTCCACCAAAGCTCTAGCTCTAGTCAAACGTTTCATTGCTACAACTCTCAACTGTATACCCACGAAGCCATCACAGTATTACATCGAAATGTAATTACATTTTACTACAGCCTATAAATATCAACAAACCATGACCGGTTGTAAATTGTCTATAGATTGTAGAGACACGCAAGCACGCATGCACACATACGCGCAAACACGCACGCACGCAGGCGCGCGCACGCACGCACACGCGCACGCACGCACGCACGCACACACAGACGCGCACACCTGTGCAACTCATTTATTGATCATTTTCAAACATTTTCAAATTATGAAATAGCATTAGGATAGATAAACGCCACCATCTCGGCTCCATTGTCTGTCTATTATATCATCAGAAGTGAATAATAATAGATTACCTCTATAAATATTCACTCCTGATATCATCTCTGGCTAGGCCACCACCTGCCAGATGTGTGATATCTGGATATTTTCCCCGTCATCTCCGCTGTAGCATTACCCTTCATTCGTCCTTACGGGAATGGGGTCGTATAGTAAATATTACTATGCACAGCGCAACGTAACATTACAAACACGCACACACACATCGACATACACAGCAAGCGCACGCACATACACACGTACGCGCGCACGCACGCACGCACGCACGCGCGCGCGCACACACACACACACATATCGACATACACAGCAAGCGCACGCACATACACACGTACGCGCGCACGCACGCACGCACGCGCACACACACACACACACACACACACACATGCACGCACGCACGCGCGTGGTTTTTAAGGGGTGGCCGAGTAATAAATGTATAAATCAGCTGCGCATATAATATCGGTATTTAATACTGCACATATAGTGAGTTTATCTCTTTTCACCCCACCCTTTCCTTCTCCGCTTCTCTCTCTCTCTCTCTCTCTCTCTCTCTCTCTCTCTCTCTCTCTCTCTCTCTCTCTCNACACACACACACAGAGGAAGAGAGAGACACACACAGAAAGGAGAGAGAGAGAGAGTTAGTGAGAGAGAGATATGCTCTGTTGTGGGAGTGGCAAGTCCATGCATCCCTCTAGATCCTCTAAGTGCTCCCTCAGTCACCACTACACACGCACAATCTACGCGGCATACATTTCTCATAAGAACACTTGTATCGTTCCATTCAGCTTCGGCCGATTCATCTCTGAAAGGATTTTCGACATGAATAAATCAAAGATCCCGACGTTTTCACGCGACGGCGCGGATTCGAGCGAGACCGACAGATTTGCCGACTCCTCAGCGCCCCCTAGCGTCTTGCAGCCTCCCCCTGGCGGTCTCAACGCACGTCGCACGTGCACACCAGCGCCCTCTACCGGTCAAAGGACTCCTCACCTCCCGCTGCCCCTCACTGACATCTCGCTAACCTCAATCAAACTATCATATACATCGGCGCCCTCTGGTGTTCCGCCGGCGGAGGCGGGGAGAGCGCCAACGCGTGAGCGACACACGGAAGCAGTCAGCAGGAAATTCGCTTCCCACTTTCTTCCGGCTGGCTTCCCCTGCCTCTTGGGTGGGATACTCACTACGTCCTGCGGCGATCAATCAATGAGAGATTGTTTGTCGATTGATCCGCTAGCCGATGCTGCTGCATTGACATACTAACGTACCCAGGCTTCTCTCTCGTTCCCAGGCTTCTCTCTCGTTCCCAGGTTTCTCTCTCGTTCCCAGGTTTCTCTCGCGTTCCCAGGCTTCTCTCTCGTTCCCAGGTTTCTCTCTCGTTTCCAG